GAGAAGGGCTTGGAAGGAAGGAAAGGGTCCATCCACTGTGGGCACAGCACGGGGTGACTCTACCAGTGCCACAGCACAAGAGCTGTTGTTGGACCAGTGGGCACCATCCTCCTCCTCAGCTCACCCAGAGTGGTCCCTGGGGATGGCAGCAGCCTGTGCTATCTCTTATCTCTGCCTGGGAAATCAGAGAGATCCTTCTGCCAAGGAAATTCAAAGGAGAGAAGTGACAAACTTTCCTTTTTCTCTCTTCTTTTTTTTTTTTTTTTTTTAATTTCTTTTTGGAAAAGCTTTGGAGAAATTTAAGAAAGGGCTGTCTCAGCAACTTCCCTTCTGCTTCATCACTCTGAGCACTGCAACATCATCAAATTAGTCAAAAGAAAACAGTGGTGCCTCTCATTTCTCCAAACAGCCAGATGCTCTTTCCGAGGGGAGGCAGCATCCGAGGCTCTTGCACCAGGGGGGCAGGGCAGGATTCCTCTTTCCTTTTTTAAGTATCAGATTTTGCTTTTGGAACAGAAAACAACCTCAAAAATGGTCCCTTTCCCCGAAACCTGGTCTGGATCCAAGAGATCTGGCTGATGGTATTTAATAGATGTGGCAGCAGGACTGCTCAGAGAGGGAGCTCTGGATCCTGGATCCAGCCTTTGGGAGAGTTCAGCCAATCCATGGCCTCCAAGGACACATCTTCAGCACTGCTGCCTGTTCCTCAGAGACATTAAAGTGCCCATTTAAAAAATCTCATGGAATGGGTTGGGTTGGAAGGGAGCTTTAAGGTCTCCTTCCACCTCCTGCTGTGAGCAGGGACACCTCCCGCTATCCCAGGTTGCTCCAAGCCCCGTCCAACCTGTCCAGGATTTCTCCACAAGGAGCCAAGGGCCAGCTCCACTCACCCTGTGGAGCTCCCAAGGCAGATCCCTGGAAATGCCCAGCCTGGCTGCCTCCAAACACCCCTCGAGGGACCTGCACCCTCCCCACTGCCCACCAGAACAGCCCTTGGGGTCCTCCTGCTGCTAAAGTGCTTTTGGGAACATCCTCCAGAGGCTGAGGCCGGGCACGGTGTCTCTGCCGCCGTCCTGGAGCTGCGAGGGGCATCCTGGATGTGGCAGGTCACCCCTGTGCCTCTGCTGGGGGCTGGAGAAGAAAACAACTTACCCCAAACGCCCTGTTCCTGCCCGGGCTCACAAACAAGGCAATTACAAGAAAGGGGCAGGAAATATTTGTAAAATGAAACCATTGATTGTTTTTAGTTTTTTTCCCCCCCATCTGCGCTAGGACTGGGGTGAGGCTCTGGCTGCTCTGAAAGGGCTTTTCTCTCCTTGTCTCTCTCTCCAAAAGACAGAGCCGGATACTTCTGGGCGGCCTCATCCGGGGGGAGGTCTGTGCTGGCTCAGGACACGCACCCGGAGCTGCACCGGGAGGGAGGGAGGGAGAGATCCCCTGTCCGGACCCCGAGCTCCGGGAGGGAGAGAGGGATCCTCTGCCCCGATCCCGAGCTCCGGGAAGGAGAGAGGAATCCCCTGTCCCCATCCTGAGCTCCGGGAGGGAGAGAGGGATCCTCTGCCCCGATCCCGAGCTCCGGGAAGGAGAGAGGAATCCCCTGTCCCCATCCTGAGCTCCGGGAGGGAGAGAGGGAGGGATCCCCTGCCCGACCCTGAGCTCCGGGAGGGAGGGAAGGATCCCCTGCCCGACCCTGAGCTCCGGGAGGGAGAGAGGGATGCCCTGTCCCCACCCTGAGCTCCGGGAGGGAGGGAAGGATCCCCTGCCCCGATCCCGAGCTCCGGGAGGGAGAGAGGGAGGGATCCCCTGCCCGACCCCGTGGCACAGCACCGGCGTGGAGGCGAGGGATGCACCCCCGGGGTTGGTCTAATGGCTCTGTGGCAGCCACGCTTGACTGCGCTTTTCCAGCAGAGGCTGAGGGTGAGGCAGCACCGCCCTGCCGTGCTCACACAGCCGTGAGTCCGTCAAGAATAGCAACACACAGCCCGCTCCTGCCACACTTGCAAACACGCGATGGGATGTGGAGCGTTTGCTCCTGAGCATCCGCCCCGGAATGGCCACCTGGAACTCATTGCTCCTTGGGAAGGGGCATAGAATTCTAGAATTCTAGAATTACAGAATCACAGAACATGAGATGGAAGGGATCACAAGGATCATCCAGTCCAACTCCTGGCTCTGCACAGACACCCCAGCAACTCCACTCTGTCCCTGAGAGTGTTGTCCAAACCCTCCTGCAGCTCTGGCAGCCTTGGGGCTGTGCCCACTGCCCTGGGGAGCCTGGTCAGTGCCCAACCAGCCTCTGGGGGAAGAACCTTTGCCTGAGATCCAACCTGACCCTCCCCTGGCACAACTTCGTGCTGTTTCCTTGAGTCACAGAATCACAGAATCCCAGAACATGCTGAGTTGGAAGGGACCCACAAGGATCATCCAGTCCAACCCCTGGCCCTGCACAGGCCCAGCCCCAAGAGTCACCCCCTGTGCCCCAGAGCATCATCCAAACCCTCCTGGAGCTCTGGCAGCCTTGGGGCTGTGCCCACTGCCCTGGAGAGCCTGTCACTGCTCACAGAGAGCAGAGATTGGTACCTGCCCCTCCACTGCCCCTCGTGAGGATGTTGAAGCCCTCAATAAGGTCTCCCCTCAGTCTCCTCTTCTCAGCAAGGCTCAGCAAACCTTGAGGCCAGTGACCGGGAGCAGGTCCGACTCTCCCGACTGAGGAGCTTCTCTCGTGCCAGTGCTGGGCTTGCAAACACCTCTCTGGAAGCAGCAGGTCGAGCCAGGCACCTGCAGGTGTATCCTCAGCACCATTCCGGAGGTGCCTGTGGGATCTGTGGCACACTGGGGTCTCTCTGCAGACCCCAAGCCTCTCCAGAGGTGCCTGTGGGATCTGTAGCACGCTGGGGTCTCTCTGCAGACCCTGAGCCTCTCCAGGCAAAGTCCATGCCCTTGGAGAGGCACCGTGGTCTTCTGAGAGGCAGGTTCCCTCTGCTGAGCCCCAAGCACCAGGAAAGCCAAGGGATTTCTTCCACTGACTTATGGATTTAGGGCTTGTGTCCTGATTTTTGGGCCAGTTTCGAGGAGCAGCACGTCGGGGCTCATTGTGTGTGCCCGTCCCTTCGTGTGTCTGGTGGCCCTGTGCTGACCTGGCTCCACACTCCCTGGCAGGATGGGGCTCAGGGCAAGAGGGCAGGGATGTGCAGCTGGGAAATGAGTGTTCTCCAGGAGATTTAACAGCTGGCTCTGACTCAGAGGGAAGAGCCAGATTGGCTGAATTTTCATCCTGCTAATTCCCTGTCTTGCTGCTGGGGATTATCCTACATGGAGGTAGACTGGACGTGTCAAGAGACCCTAAGCTTCCCCTTTGGATGGGCTGGCATTGGGCAGAGTGGGATTGCCTGGGTTGTGGTTGTCCCTGCCCCTGGGATCTGCTGGAAAAGCTGGAAAAGCACCAGCACTGTGCAGCAGAGATCCAGGGTCTGCTGCCTTTGGCTGTGGTGGAGCTTCTGGGATACTTCTGGATATTCTTGTGTGTTATCTGATTGAAACCATTTCATACCCTGGGAGGAGCCAAGTCACCACAGAACAGTTTCCTTGTCCTTGGGGAGTTGGGGGCAGAGAAACCCCAGTGAAAACTGCCCCTATGGCACCTGTACCTCCTCATTTGTGCCAGGCTGGCCACTCTCACCCTAAGGCAGACAGTGTCTGGAAGGTATCCAGGTATCTAATGAAATATTTTGGCAGCTGAACATTGCTCTGTAAAGGCAGGAAAATTACAGAAAACGTGGAGCACGAGGAGATCCTCTTTAAGTGAAGCATCTTCCTAAAGGTACGAGCTGGGGGACGAGGAGGATTGGGAGACTGAGTTTGTTTGTCTTCCTGGGACGGTGTCAAGAGCATCATGTTGGTGTGAATTATGTCCTGAGTGCAAAGTGCCCTACTTTGGTCGGTGCCCAAAACCCGCCGTCATTAATGAGAAGGCTCATTATTGACTTCAGTGGGCATCTGGAAGACTCTGAAGAACTGACAGCAGGAGCCAAACAATTGCCAGAGCACATCACCCCGGCGGTGTGTTGAGCAAGGGCAAGGGCAGCGTGGCCACGAGCCGTGGGGCTGTGCCTGCCCTGGCCCCACACAGCCCAGCCCAACCCAGCCCACGGGGCTTCTTCCCACCCCTGGCCTCGCCGGGGAGGTGGTGCTGGTGACACAGATGCCACCACCTGCCTTCTGTGACTATCACAGCTCCAAGCCCCGTTTGGTTTCCTCCTTCAGAGGGCTCGTGTGGCGCTGGTTTGGCGTCCCCTGCCCGGGTGGCATTTCAGACGCCCCCGGGGTGCGTTCCCCAGGCAAAAACTGTGCAGCAGGTTTTGTGCACCGGGAGTTCCTCTGCTCTCACTGCACAGTCCAGGGCAGCCAGCGCTGGGATACCCTCAGTCCCCAGCCCTACCCACGCTCCCAGCTCCCGGGGGACAATCCATCCGTTTGCTTGACTAGAATTGCTTGCACTCACCAGCTTTTGCAGCATCTGTAAAGGTCAGGAAGAGGAGAGAGAGCTGTTTCCCACCTCCTGGGAACCACCTATTTGTTCTTGGGCTTTTTTTCCCCTCTTCTCTGCTCATAAACACCAAGCTGCTCTGCAAACCCAGCTCATTTTGCCGGGAGGTTTTGCAGCTGGAATTGTGGGCGACTCCCCTTTCCCCGGCTCCGGGCTTGCTCTCACAGGGTTCCAGCCTGGTTTTCGGGGTGCAGGGGGTCTGTTGTGTAACCTGCTGGAGCCAGTGTTGGGGCAGGGGTTTCCTGTTGCCCACGAGGTGGAATTTCCATTGTGTTTGGGTTGCCCTCTCCGCGGTGATTCATCGTCTTGGCCGAGGCAGAGTTTCCTTCCTTCCCGCAGGGCAATGTGCAAGGTTTCACTCCTTTGGAAAACAGCTGGAACAGGACCTGTCCCCGTGATCCCAGCACCCAACCACCCTCCAGTCCACTGACCCAAATGGTTTTTAACCCTCCAGTTTCAGGGAAGGGGAAAACAATCCTCAGAAAGCTTTCCCGGCTCGGATGGAGAACGACCGTGTCCTGGGCGACCTGTGGGGGAAGAGCAACGTGCCCGTGGTCCTGAACAACCCCTACTCTGAAGCAGAGCAGGTAAGAGACCTGCTGCTTTGGGTGGGAAGGTGGGTTTGGGGACATGTGACCCATCCTGGTGGGCTCTCACCCCACGGAGAACCCGCGCTTTGATCCCCAGAGCTGGGGTTGGTGGGGTGCAGACCCCGTGGGTCAGACAGGGTATGTGGGTCACTGGAGAATGATGCTCTCCATCCAAGGGCTGACGTGGGATGGGAGCACAGCCAGGGACCAGGACTGTGAAACCTCCCTGGGGAATGTGATCCCTTTTGGTGGCAAACGGCCAAGTTGCATCATTAAAGTCGTTTTGATTCCCAGGAGGGTAATTCAATAGAGCACTTCAGATAATACGTGGTACACGGCGCCTTTTCATCTCCTCACACTCCACGGACATAAATTCTCAGGCTTCCTTGCCAAAAGGAGATTAACTCCACGCTTGTAGCAAAGCCAGAGACGTAAGGCAGACCCTGCCAGGCCACAAGATCACCTCAGGGAAAACATGACGTGGGTGAGCCCTGCCAAGCCTGCTCAGGCAAACGTGTCTCCCTGATGGGATTAACCAGCAGCAAGGCAGGACATGGGGGATCAGGCTCGGGACCATCTTGTTGCACCCCCCTGCCATGGGCAGGGACACCTCCCACTAGCCCAGGTTGCTCCAAGCCACATCCAACCTGGCCTTGGACACTTCCAGGGATCCAGGGGCAGCCACAGTTTCTCTGGGCAACCTGTGCCAGAGCCTCCCCACCCTCACAGCCAAGGATTCCTTCCCAATCTCCCATCTCTCCCTGCCCTCTGGCAGTGGGAAGCCATTCCCTGTGTCCTGTCCCTCCATCCCTTGTCCCCAGTCCCTCTCCAGCTCTCCTGGAGCCCCTTTAGGCCCTGCAAGGGGCTCTCAGCTCTCCCTGGAGCCTTCTCTTGTCCAGGTGAACCCCCCCAGCTCTCCCAGCCTGGCTCCAGAGCAGAGGGACTCCAGCCCTCAGAGCATCTTCATGGACTCTTCTGGACTCTGTCCAGCAGCTTCCACGTCCTTTCTGTGCTGAGATCCCAGAGCTGGACACAGTTCTCCTGGGACTCCTGCATGGATCTGTGTCCCCAGTGCAGCCTCACAGTGCCAGAGCCCCACGGGACGTGTGACACCCACCGTGCTGGTGCTGGTGGACACACAGGGCAGCTGAGATGCTCCTGACCACACCAGCCTTGCTGCATGGTTTTAACCAACCTGGTTGGGTGCTGAGATGCAGCTGGGACCGATTCCACCCTCCCCCTGCCTGGCTGAGGCCCAGGATTGAGGTGAGGTGTCCCAGCAGCACAGCCAACCTCGCAGTGGGTGTCACCTACACCCCAACGGGGCCATCCACGGGCTCTGTTCTGCCTCTGCAGGGATGTCCCTGGGCAGCCCCCTGTCCCACCACGTGGTTCATGCACTGGGGCAGGTCTCAGAAGCCCGTCTCACCCAAGCACAGGTCACAGCTCTGCTCCCTTTGCCCCAGCTCTGGAAAGACTCTCCTTCTGCCTCCTTTGCTAAGCTCCTCGTGGGTACGTGTCTGTTACTATAAGCACTTTACAACCTTCTGTGTTCAGAGCTTAATTTCTCTCCATGTTAGAGCTGCCAAAACCTCCAGTCTTAAGCTGCTATTAAACTCTTTATTATTATTTTTTTTTATTTGCACTAGATGCACAGCTTTCTTTTTTATCCTTCTTATCCCCAGATCGTTACGCCTGCTCTTCAGGGAGCAGTTTGGTTTCCCCCCACACACACCCCCCGTGCTCCCTGCAGCCTGTTCCCCAGGGGCTGTGTGTGTGCTCAGGGCAACTCAACTTCTTCCAGGCAGCAATAAATACCATTAGCACAGGGCAAAGCCAAGCTGAGTGGGAGCTTTCTCCACACCTTGTTCTTCAGAGCAGGGTTTGGTGGATTCTCTTGGCCGGGTGGTGAATGCTCACCCAGGCTCGTAATGAGGTGCTGAAAGACCCGCTGGGCATCGATCTTTTATTTTTTGCAAGGTCATGCAGCGTGTTTTTCGCTTGTTTCCCAGGAGCCCAATCCCCCTGACCCTCCATTTGACTGATGGAAAGGTGCTGTAGCTGCGCCAGGCCCTGTTTCAACCCGTGTGGATTGATTTGTTTTTAGTAGCTCCAGGTAACGGGGAGGTTTGTGTCCGTGTAGCTCTCAGGGGAAGGGAGTCATATCAGCTCCACGCTTGTGAGGGTGATTTACAGCTTTATAAAAGCAAAAAAAACCCCCACACTTCCAGTGAGCAAAGTCTGGAAGGAAATGTCAGCATGGCCATATATCTCTGACCTGGGCTTGTGCTGCAGTCTTCATCACAGAACCACAGGATCTGCTGAGCTGGAAGGGACCCACAAGGATCATCCAGTCCAACCCTCAGCCCTGCACAGGCCCATCCCCAAGAGTCACCCCCTGTGCCCCAGAGGATCATCCAAACCCTCCTGGAGCTCTGGCAGCCTTGGGGCTGTGCCCACTGCCCTGGGGAGCCTGGGCAGTGCCCAACCAGCCTCTGGGGGAAGGACCTTTTGCTGAGATCCAACCTGAGCCTGCCCTGACACAGCTCCAGCCATTCCCTGGCTGCTGTCCCTGGTCCCCCAGAGCAGAGCTCAGTCCCTGCCCCTCCTCTGCCCCTGCCCAGGCAGTTGAACTGCACTGAGGTCTCCCCTCAGTCTCCTCTGCTCCAGCTGAACACACCAAGTGCCCTCAGTGTCCTCACACGCCTTCAGATCAAGGCCCTTCCCCATCTTCATTACCCTCCTTTGGCCTCTGGCTTAACATCTTTCTCACACTGCAGTGCCCAAAACTGCCACAACATTCCAGGTGAGGCCTCCCCGGTGCAGAGCAGAGCGGGACAATCCCCTCCCTTGCCCAGCTGGTGACGCTTTACCCGCTGCCCCCCAGCCCGGGGGTTCCAGCAGGGAGCCAGCGCAGGGTGCAGGAAGGGTGAGGACCCGTAGATCCCACTCAGATCCCAAAAGGGGAGATGCTCCCCGTCACTCTGGCCCCGAGGAGCACCCAGGCCTGCATTCCTGCTGTCTCCAGACAGCTCAGGGGCTGGGTGCTGCCGACAAGTGCCACCACACCCCCTGCCAAAAGGCGTTTGCATAACGCGTGTGCGCCCCGACTGCTGCGTTCGGCTCTCCAGTTTGTGCCACCCTTGAGTCACTAATATCACAGCTGCCTAATTAGAACATGAAAGGATCTCACACAGCCTCCCTGACAGACAGAACGAGGGGTAATATTTGGCTTCAGCTTTGCCGTGCGGGGAAGGAACACACACACCCCCACACACACACACAGAGAGCTGCTTCCCTGTCTCTCCTGCGTGTCTCTCTCTCCACAGCTGCTCTGTGGTGTGCTTGGCAGACCTGACACCTCTGCTTCTTGGAGGTGGTGTTGCCTTGGATGCTCCAGCCTGGCTGGCATCCCAGGATTTTGGCATCCCTCCGCTCCGGGGCCCTCTCTCAGCACAGGCTGAAAGGGTTGTCAGGCACTGGAAGAGGCTGGTGGAGTCCCCATCCCTCTGGGGGTGTCCAAGGAACAACGGGACGTGGCACTCAGTGCTCTGGTCTGGTTGACAAGGCGGTGACGGGCCACAGGTTGGACTCGACGATCTTGGAGGTCTTTTCCAACCTTAATGTTTCTGTGATTCCAAGATTCGAGCTTCCCCAGATCCCGCAGGAAAAAAGACAAACAGGAAAGGGAGCAGCTTTGAGGGAGCCCAGGGCAGAACATCTGTAGGCAGATGTTAAGCAGCCAGTGTCCTCCAGCTTGGAGCTCGCTCGCTCCAAGGGTCATGGCTACCCCTGGATTCATGGCACAAACCCCCCTGGATTCTTGGGCCACCCCTGCTCTGCCAAGATGTTGTTTAGCAGCACGCCTTGTCAGGAAATCAAACCTAGCTGGGATTTAAACAATCAACACTTCCCGCCCGGCGCTCCTGATTTCTGTCTGGCGGGTGGAGGAGCAGGTGAGGATTGGTTTCAGTTGCATTTCTGAGCAGCACCTTTCAGCTTCGTTTGACCAGTCTCACAGAGCTGCTCTCAGCAATCAGGCTCGGAAGGAAGGTGGCAGATTGTTCCCCTCAGCACTCAGGGTGGTTCAGAGAGCACAGGATGCTGGTAGTGGTTAAAGAATGATTTCATTCCCTTGAAAGAGTAAAACAAGCAGGGGGGGAAAACAACCAGGAACTGCCACTGCCAAAATTCAGGGGCGATTCCCTAAAGCTGAAAACAATTAACTTAAAAATTGTGCTTTTGCAGGGCTACATTTTGGTGGTTCTTTTTATTTACTGCTGGTTTCGAGCTCTGCGTGGTTCTCATGTTTGGTTTTTGCAGCATGGGAAGGGGAGGCTGAGATCCAGGGTTTGGTCACTCGGCTTCAGGGGCTTTGAAACTCTCCTTGGGAAGACCACAGGATTTGTGACATGAGGAATGTCATGGAGATCCATGGCAGCACAGCCCAGAGGGTCAGGCTGTAAATCTCTCCCTGCCCCTCCAGCCTCTGTCCCTTGTTCCCAGCATGTGCTTTCAGTGCATGGTATCACACTGTGAGCCTCAGGCTGCTTGACTGTAAAATCCCTGTTTTCCAGGGAAAAAAAGGAGTCTGGAGCATATGGTAAAAACAAGGACTGGGCAAAAACTCTGGCCAACAGTGCCACCAGGGCAGTGCAGAGGTGTCTGCTCAGCACAGCCCTCAGGGATCAGTCAGGCATGGATCTCTCCCTGCTTTGGGAAAGCAGAGCAATCCTCTGTCTGGCAAAGCAGGAACCAGTCAGATCTGGAGCCTCACCTGCTTTGTCATCCTCGTGGCTCCTGTTGCTTTCCCTCCTGAACCAAGAGCTTCTTCCACCCTGTGTTGGCTCTTCCTTGGTTGCTCTTCCAGTGTGTAATGCTGAATTTGTGCTGTTGCTGCCAGTGCAACTGTGACATGGGCCCAGAACCCCCCAAAAGGAGGGTGAGACTCTGCACAGCTCTGCTGAGGGCAGTGCCATCTCCAAAAAACCCTCACAGATGGATCAGAAAGGGACACCAGCCACGGGATTCATGTAGGAAGGGTACAGCAAACTCGGTCCAGGCTCAGGGATAATTTGCAGAGATTTAATCCTGAAGTGGTGCCAAATACAAACAGGGTTTGCCAGGATGCTCTGGGGTGGAACAGATCTCCCCCTGAGACCTGCAGCAACAGCATTGTGGTCACAGTGATGGAATTACCTCCTACTGCAAGATTTGATTCCAAGGAGAAACATTTCCAGAGCTCCCTGTCCCACTGCACGCTGGCAGACACCCAGTGCTCTTTAAGCTCCTAAGTGCTTGGGGTGAATAAGGGCCACAGAATAAAATTCAGATTTTATCAGTGAAAACACTCAAAAAGAAGCACTTGTAACCAGTTCTTCTCCTCACAATCTCTGTGCTGGCTGAGACTCTCCTCCTGTTGGCACAGGACTCTTGAGATGCTGGCTGAGCACACCCAGCAGAGCACCAGGGAGGGCTGGAGGCTCGGAGCTGAGCTGAGGTATCCAACCACGCGTGACTCAGCATGGTAATTTATCCATCCTTATTCCTGGGATCTTCCAGCGCTGCTATCAAAGGAGAAGTGCCTTTGGCTTGCTCAGAGGAATGACCAGCTGTTAGCTCTGTCTCACAGTGCTCTGGCCAGCGAGGCAGAACTTGGGCAGGTGATGCTCCTTGGAAAGGAACACCCAATCCAGTGCAGAGATCTTCCACAAGGCATTCTTCTAAGTCAGTTCTACCCCTGTTTTTACCTCCTCTTCTACAGGTTTGGCTGTCCCATAACCTGACATGACTTCTCAGTTGGCTGCCCCATTGTAGGATCCCCAAAAAAGTGCCAAATATTTGGACAACACACCTCGTCTTGCTATGTTAGCACTGGAATTTAAGCACAGGCATCCTCTAACACAAGATGCTGCCTGTTGTTGTGACCTTTCCCTGTGCCTGACCTTGTTCCTGGTGTTCCCTGTTGTCCAGCCACCTCCATCCGGGCGTCAGTCCCCGACCAAGAACACGGCCAACGGGAGCCCTTCCAAATGCCCGCGGTTCGTGAAGATCAAGAACTGGGAGACGGGCTCTGTGCTCCACGACACCCTGCACCTCAAGACTGCCATGGTGAGCAGAGCTGATGGGACTGGCCAGAAGCTGTCTGAGCACAGCTGAGGGGATCACGGTGTTCCCGAGGTGGTTTTAACTGCAAATGCAGGAGGGGATGAGTTCGGGTCAGTCTGGTCTCCAGGAGGGTTGGAATTTTAAACCTGTGGTGCAATAAGCTGGGGGAGAGGGAATTCCACCTCTCCTTGACTTCACGCCAAGCCGGGGCAAGAATCCCACGAGCCCTGATCGTCCTTGTTGGGTGGGAGCAGAGCTGACTGCACGTGGCTGAGCTGTCTCACCCAGCCTTAACAACAGGGGTGGAGACAAACAGGCTGGAAATGTCCTTGTTGGCCAAAGATACCACCAGCCTCTGTGTAGGAATCGCTGGCTTCCCCCAGCCCAGCTCAGGTCACCAGGAGTGCTGCAGTGACCCCAGACTCACTCGTCCCCTCCTGTCCCGCCAGGCCACCGCCTGCACCGAGCAGATCTGCATGGGCTCAGTGATGACCCCCAGCCCTCACATCCGCAAGTCAGAGGACACCAGGACAAAGGAGGAGGTGCTCCTGTTGGCCAAGGACTTCATTGACCAGTACTACTCCTCCATAAAGAGGTAAGGACTGGCTGGAGAAGGTCACAGCCCGAGGCTGCTGCTTCTGCCGAGGTGTCACACGGGACACCTCAAGCTCTACATCCCCAGCACAGGGAGGACAGGGAGCTGTTGGAGAGAGTCCAGAGGAGGCACCAGCATGATTAGAGGGCTGAAGCACCTCTCCTATGAGGAAAGGCTGAGAGAAATGGGATTGTTCAGCCTGGAGAAGAGAAAGCTTCAGGGTGACCTCCCAGTACCTGAAAGGAGCTACAAGAAAGATGGAGAGAGATTATTTGCAGGGGGCCTGGAGTGACAGGACAAGGTGAAATGGCTTCACACTGACAGAGAGTAGGTTTAGATATTAGGAAAAAAATTCACCCCTGTGAGGGTGGGGAGGCCCTGGCCCAGGTTGCCCAGAGAAGCTGTGGCTGCCCCTGGATCCCTGGAAGTGTCCAAGGCCAGGTTGGACAGGGCTTGGAGCAACCTGGGCTAGTGGGAGGTGTCCCCGCCCACGGCAGAGGGTTGGAATGAGATGATCTTTAAGGTCCCTTCCAACCCAAACCATTCAATGATTCCATGGTCCAGTCTTTCACACTTGTGAGTCAAAGCAGGGTGAGACTCCAGTGCCCCACGAGCAGCTGCTTCTTCAGTGGAGTTTCACTCGTAGTGTTTGGTTTTGTTGTGTGTCTGTGCCAACCACCGACCTCTCCCACTTGTCCTTGGTCATCTCTTACCTGAAAGCACACACGTGTGTGTGTGCGTGTGTGTGTGAGCACACGTGTGTGCGTGTGTGTGCATGTGTGTGTGTATGTGTGTGTGTGTGTATGTGTGTGTGAGCACACGTGTGTGTGTGTATGTGTGTGTGTGTGTGTGTATGTGTGTGTGTGTGCATGTGTGTGTGTATGTGTGTGTGTGTGTGAGCACACACACACATGTGTGTGTGCATGTGTTTGTGTGTGAGCACACGTGTGTGTGTGTGTGTGTGAGCACACATGTGTGTGTGTATGTATGTGTGTGCGTGTGTGTGTGTGTGAGCACACATGTGTGTGTGTGTATGTGTGTGTGTGTGTGAGCACACATGTGTGTGTGTGCGTGTGTGTGTATGTGTGTGTGTGTATGTGTGTGTATGTGTGTGTGTGTGCACATGTGTGTGTGTGTATGTGTGTGTGTGTATGTGTGTGTGTGTGAGCACACGTGTGTGTGTGTGAGCACACACGTGTCTGTGTGTGAGCACACACGTGTGTGTGTGTGTGTGTGTGTGTGTGTGAGCACACACGTGCGTGTGCGTGTGTGTGTGTGTGTGAGCACACACGTGCTTAAGGAGGGAAGAACTCACACCCGGGTGGAGAGCACCCAAACTGCCACCTCCTCTGCTCCCCACCCACCCAGATCCGGCTCCAAGGCCCACATGGAAAGGCTGGAGGAGGTGACCAAGGAGATTGAAGCCACTGACACCTACCAGCTGCGGGACACCGAGCTCATCTACGGAGCCAAGCACGCCTGGAGGAACGCAGCCCGCTGCGTGGGCAGGATCCAGTGGTCCAAGCTGCAGGTAAAGAGGGGGCACTGGAGCTGTGGAGAGGCAAATCTTGCTCTTCAGACACCTGGGGAAGCACAGCACAGGTACAGCAGCGGGTGTTCATCACACAGCAGCAGCTTTGGGGGTGCACAGCCTGGGAACTCGGCGGGAGATGGAAAAGCATCGGTGGGGCTGGTGTAGCTGAGGTGTCTGAAATGGGGCTGGCGCTCCGGGAACTTTTTCCAAAATCAGACAGTGCTCTGGTATCTCCCCTGCTGCTTCCAGAACTGTTGCTGTGCCTGCAGAGAGGCAGCAGGACACACTCGCCCTCGGTACAGAGATGCTACGGCGGGAGAGGGTTTGGCTCAGTGTCCTTCTGCCTGGTGGGAGCGTAGAGCAGACTGGGGATTAGTGATCTCGAGTGGAATCCCTTGGCACAGAGATGACAACTCCTGCTGTGTCTTGGAGCCCAGCTCCAGTGCTGCTGAGGAGCTCTCGTGGAGCTTCCCACAGAGTGTGGGCACAGCCTGCCCGGGGGGCTGGGCCTCCTTCGCTCCCAGCTCAGCTTTCAGCTCATCCACAGTTTCTTTGGGCACATCTGAGCCTTGGGGGGGGGGGGCATTCCTGCAAGAACTTCAAGCTTCCTGCTGATCCTCTTCCCTGGTTTCCCCATCCTCTTGTAGATGCCCCTGGATCTCTGGAAGTGTCCAAGGCCAGGTTGGAGGGAGCACTGAGCAACCTGCTCTGCTGGAAGGTGTCCCTGCCCGTGGCAGGGGGTGGAATGAGATGCTCTTTAAAAGCCTCTTCCAACCCAAAACCATTCTATGATTTCATGACACCCTGTCCCTCAGACCTGGCCGACCCCTATCCTATTTCACCTTTGAGTGTTGATCTCCAGGAGGAACAGAGCAGAGCCCAAAATCGTTGCTGGATAAGCCAGGGACAGCAGCAGGTTGGGAGCACTGGAATGAGGAGGTTTTTGCCTGAGCAGCAGATGACTCACCTCTCCAAAGCAAAAGGGGCAGCTGGATTACACATCCACGTGTTCTAAAGGCAGAGAACACATAATTATGGATCTTTAAATCCCTAAGAAGCCGCAGTGGTGTCTAGAGTTCTCCGTGTGCTGTGTTTCCATCTGCCTGGCTCTGCCCTTGGAGTATCCTGTAGCATCACCACAATCCCTTCCCCTGTTCCAGGTGTTTGATGCCCGGGACTGCACCACAGCCCACGGGATGTTCAACTACATCTGTAACCACATCAAATATGCCACCAACAAAGGGAACCTCAGGTGAGCCACCAGGGAGTTTGTGTCCAGAGGCCTCTGAGATGTGTGCAAACCCAGCTCTGGGCCCTGCTGACGTTGTCTCCTTCAGCAGCAGGAGGGTTGCAGCCCTCACCTGTGTTAGAGGGACCCGCTCTGAGGAGAAGGTGTCCTGCTGGTCCAAATCAAGCCCTTGCTCTCTGTGGGACCTCAGAGGGCAGATTTTCCTATTGTTTCTCCTTTCCTGTATTCTGTGTCAAACACAGAGCACGGGCTGCTCTCCAGATTTGTCAGAAACCTGGTGTTTTCAACCAGCTTCTGCCTGGAGCTGGAAGCACCTCAAATTCCAGAGCCTTGCCGTGACTCCTTCCAGTGTAAAACCGCTTGGGGCTCACCCGGGGTGGTGGGACAGGCAGGGACAGCACCTTTCCCTGCAGCACTTCCCCCCTCCCGGTGGCCTCACCGGCGCTGCCCCTTGTCCTGCCAGGTCTGCCATCACCATCTTCCCGCAGCGGACGGACAGCAAGCACGACTTCCGCATCTGGAACGCCCAGCTCATCCGCTACGCCGGCTACAAGCAGCCCGACGGCACCATCCTGGGAGACCCTGCCAACGTGGAGCTCACAGAGGTACCAGGGGGAACCTCCCGGGCACCGTGGGGCTGGTGGGGACACCCAGAAATCTGAGACTTCCAGGAGTGAGGAGGGGGTGGGTCGAGCAGGTTTAGCTCACCCACTGCAGCACCACGACGGGAGGCTGGGCTTGGCTCGCCCTCAGGTATCTTCTCAGGAATAAAGAGTATTTTTTTTCGCTTTTCTGCTCTTCTCACCCATTTTCCTCTCCCCTGTCACAGGCACAAATGGCATGAGTGGATTTTCCAGAGCCACGTTCCTACCTGGGATCTAGTTCTGGGCTCATTTTCAGCCCAAATCCCCTTTACTTGCCTATGACAGGCAACCCCCCATTGTAGCTCCCTTGATTGGAAGTTATTACTCAACCATAACAGAGCCGAGCATAGCTTGGAAAATCCTTGGAAAATCCTTGGAAATCCCGTTCGGAGCCATGTGACTCTCTGCCCATAGCGCTTGAAGAGCAGAGACTTGCTGGGACATCTGACCCCACTTCTGTTTTCCCTGTAGATCTGCATCCAGCAAGGCTGGAAGGCGCCGTACGGACGCTTTGATATCCTGCCTCTGCTCCTCCAAGCCAACGGCAACGATCCAGAGCTCTTCGAAATCCCCCCGGAGCTCGTGCTGGAAGTGCCCATCCGGCACCCCAAGTAAGTCAGAGGAAGCCCCAGAGCTGCTCAAGGGGATCAGCAGGACTGAGATCCTCTGGTTCCACCCCAAGCCACCCCCTGTGCTTGGCCTTTCGTTGCCATGGCTTGGGTGCTTTACCCAGGACCTTCCCCCAGGTCTTCCCTTTGCTCAGGCTGGCGGAGCCTGGAGATGGAAAGCAAGTTGTGTCCTTGTCTGGGGCTAGTTCTCCTTTCCCTGAAGTCTCCCAGGACTTGCACCACTCCACAGCACTCTTGATACCTCACTTTCCCCCCTCAGACAGCCCCCATGGGAGGTGTTGCCTCCCGGGTTCGTTCTGCTCACGTCCTTCCCCCCCGGCAGCAAAGTGACCTCCTCCTCCACTTCCCAGGGAAAGGTCTGGCTGGTTGCCTAACCCCGTTTGTCCTGGCAGGTTTGAGTGGTTCAAGGACCTGGGGCTGAAGTGGTATGGTCTGCCAGCAGTTTCCAACATGCTCCTGGAGATCGGGGGCCTGGAGTTCTCCGCCTGCCCCTTCAGCGGTTGGTACATGGGCACCGAGATCGGGGTCCGGGACTACTGCGACAACTCCCGCTACAACATCCTGGAGGTAATTCCTCCTCCTCCAGGAGCTCCTGGGGAGTGGGAAGTCACTGGGGAGCAGGCAGGACACCGGCACAGTGTTACCTTCAGTGGGGGAGTACAGGATATCCGTTCTCCTGGAGCCAAGGGTGTGACGGGCTGGCTGTTGTGTATCTAACACAGATGCCTACTGAGCTCCCCACAGACTTCCCAGAGAATCTTAGGGATCAGCAGGCAGCTGGTCGTGTGCTTGACTGAGGTCATGGGTGCTGAGACACTTGGTGGCTCCTCGGGGATGCTCCTGCCCATGGGGACCCTCCAGCTGGCCCCTCCGGAGTGTTCAGCCGTGGCCTGGGGGCTGCCCACAGTGGGAGGGATAAAGCCAAGCCATGGGGAGGTGCCAGTGCAGGGCATCTGGATTCACCGGGACATTCCAAGGGGGATGTTGTGTTATTTAGTGGGGCTGCACTGCTCCCCAGACACCTGAAAACCAGAGGGGTGAGAGCAAGTGTGTGTGTGTGTGTGTGTGTGTGTGTCTGTGTGTGTGTGTGTGTACATGTGTGTGTGTGTGTGTCTGTGTGTGTACATGTGTGTGTGTGTGTGTGTGTGTGTGTCTGTGTCTGTGTGTGTGTCTGTGTGTGTACATGTGTGTGTGTGTGTGTGTGTGTTTGTGTTGTGTGTGTCTGTGTGTGTGTGTGTGTGTGTGTGTTTGTGTGTGTGTGTGTGTGTGTGTGTTTGTGTGTGTCTGTGTGTGTGGTGTACATGTGTGTGTGTGTCTGTGTGTGTGTCTGTGTGTGTGTGTGTGTACGTGTGTGTGTGTGTGTGTGTGTGTGTGTGTCTCTGTGTGTGTCTGTGTGTGTGTGTTTGTGTATGTGTGTGTGTGTTTGTGTGTGTTTGTGTGTGTGTGTCTCTGTGTGTGTGCGTGCATGTGTGTGTGTGTGTGCATGTGTGTGTGTGTACATGTGTGTGTGTGTTTGTGTGTGTGCAACTGCTCTCGATGGCCCTTTGAGGGGCATTTGGTCACCTCCCTCTGCTCAGGGGGGAAGGAAGGCCGTCCTCCTGCCATGGAGAGCAAAAGGCAGGACCAAAGCTTCTCAAGGGAAGGCAAAACATCAGCCCTTCCCTGCCCTGAGGGTGCCTTGTGCCAGCCTGGGTCCCTCCTCTGGGCTCCTCTCCCAGGCAGAGGTCTCCAGTTCTTGGTCCCTTGGCCATGAGGAGCCCTCACTTTCTGCCATGTGTTGTTACAGCAAGTGGCCAAGAAAATGAATCTGGACATGAGGAAAACCTCCTCGCTGTGGAAGGACCAGGCCCTGGTGGAGATCAACATTGCTGTGCTGTACAGCTTCCAGGTACCTCCGGAGCAGGACTGTGCTCGGGCCAGGCTTGAGGGACACGGGGAGCGGGATGGAGACATCAATCCGAGGAGAACGCAGCACTCTGCTGAAATTGGGCTGTGCCTCCCTAATTTGGGGCTGTTCTGCAGTAAAATTTATAATCTCTGTGCCCTGGATGTTTTAAAGACAGCCCTACCAGCACCTGAGTTCTGCTGGTCCAGAGGGAATATCCCTAGGGAGCAAGATCCAGCCCTTCTGTCACATCCAGGAGGCAAGAATTGGCCCAGGTTCTCCCCCTGCCAGCACTTAAAGGTTCAGTAGCTGAACTAGTGCTTGGCAATCCAAGTTCAGAGGGTGGGAGCCCTTCCCAGAGCTGGATCAGAGCTGCCCCATGGAGCTGCACAAGCCACGAAAGAGCTCTCCAGGGGGACGAACAGAGGATGCTCCATCCTCTTCGTGCCATCTCAGCCTTTGCCTGGCCCACGACAAATCACAGGAGCAGTGATCCCATAGCACATCTACCCAGGAAGGACTGGGGCAGCTTTACAGCTTCCTTGGGAAGAGCAGCCAGCCTGGGTCATCTCCAAAGGTCCCGTAAGACCGTGGGAGTGAGGAATATTTGGGACAGCTCCAAAATCTTGGCTCTTGCCTTCTGGGGTGTGGTAACAGCTGTGGGCTCTGTTCTCTCCTCCCCCGGCAGAGTGACAAGGTGACCATCGTGGATCACCACTCGGCCACGGAGTCCTTCATCAAGCACATGGAGAACGAGTACCGGTGCCGTGGGGGCTGTCCTGCCGACTGGGTGTGGATTGTCCCGCCCATGTCTGGCAGCATCACCCCAGTTTTCCACCAGGAAATGCTCAACTACCGCCTCACACCCTCCTTTGAGTACCAGGTACTGTCCTCACCTTCACCTCCCACCGGTGCCCAGAGGTGGGGCCAAGAGCAGGGTGGGAGCTGAAGATGCAGGAAGGGCAGGAACACCATCTAATCCCTTCAGCAAGCTGTCCCTCAGGTCCATGACAAGTCTAATTGATGCCCTAATGTCCTGTAATAACCCCTGGATGTCACCCCTTGTCTCAGGGCAATGGCTTTTTGCCCCTCTGTGGGCACCCAACTTTTTGACCGCCCCCAACTTTTGGATGGAGCAGAGCTCCTCCCTTTGGAAGAGCCTAATTTTGCACTTGGGCGAGTGAGGGAATGACCTGGAAAAGGCCTGTATCCCTCCCCTCTGCAGCCTGCAGGGCTGAGTGGATGGCTCCTGCCAGCCTGGGGATCCAACAGGCTGACGGGGGGGCTCCTGCCCAGCGGGACCGGCAGGAGGCTGAAATGCTGCTGCTGGAGTATTTAACACTTCAGACCACGGGGGGGAAAAAGCCCCTAAGCAGACACTCCCTCGTTATCCAACCATCCCTGCTCTGGTGGTTTCCACACAATGTGACCTTTAGTCAAGAGCCCTTAAGGAACAATCCCAAACCAGGAGCAGTCTGTTCACTTCTATAACCAACCCACCAGGAACCCCGATGCTTCCTGGCCCTGATTGCAGCCTGTGAGGGCACGGAATTAGCTTCTGTGTGCTTATTCCTGGCTTCTGCTGCCTCCCCTTCCCAAAGGGCCTCTTAGGAAAAAAAAAAAAAACAAACAGTGGGCCGGGGAGGGGGAAGGATGTGTTTCCATCACTCTCCCCTTCTGGCATTGCCTGCCTTCTTTTCGCCTCTGGGCTGTTAAGGAGCATCTCAAGAGGTGAGAAAGCAGTTGGCCAGATGCTGTTACAAGCCAGCAAGGTTTATGATATTGCAATTTTTCTGTGCATGCTCCGTTGCCCAACTGCCCAGAAAATACCCCCCAGGGGTTCCAAGGATGAGGGAGAGCTGTGAAGAGGAGTCCAGCTGCTCCTCCCCTTCATGGCTCGAGGAATTCAATCCTGGGTGCTGCTGGAGCCCTGGAGCCCTGGGATTTGGGGCTCAGTGCCCCTGGAGCAGGTGGAAAACGGCATTGGCTCCTTTCCCCTCTCTCCTGCCTCTCCCTTGTTTTGTCCCCTGGTTCAGCAGAGCCATGGGTGAGCCCCCAGCCCTTCAGAGAGGGTCTCCTTCCCATGGCAGCCCTTCCCAAAGCTCCCAGAAGGGCTCGAGGAGCTCAAATTCGAGGCTGTACTTAATGTGCAGATAAAAAAAAAAGGCTTTTCCAGCCCCCCCTGTGGAGCTGGGAGGGCTCTGAGTGTCCCCTCAGCCCCTTCCCACCCCTCAGCTCCCTCTGGATGGTTCCCTGGGGGTGACACTGCTCCTTTCCCTCCCAAATCAAGCCATGGGTCCCCCCTCCCTCGAAGCAGGAAATCTCTAATATATGGAAGCATTCCCAAAGCTCTGAGCACTGCTGCCCTTCTCTCTCCAGCCGGACCCCTGGAACACCCACGTCTGGAAAGGGGTCAATGGGACACCCACCAAGAAGAGGGCCATTGGATTTAAGAAGTTAGCAAAGTAAGTACCAGCAGGCTCTGGAAAACCCTGGAGTGTTTGGGGCTGGTCCTGGTTTTGGGCAGCTCTGACTGATGGAGTTGCCCTGTGAGAGAGGGGTGTGAGGCTGGACCTCTGGGGGCTTTACCACGAGGGACATTTGGACAGACAGACAGTCTCTGAAGACCCCATTAGACCACCAGAAGGTGTGGGACCAGGTGAATAGCAGATGTTGCACATAGTCTGTTCTCCCAAGCTGTTCATTCTCCAGTAAGAGATGCTCAGGGATGGCCTTCCCTCTTTTTTGGGGTGTGCTGCCTGGTTCTCCTTTCACAGCCTCCTTGGGGCAGGGACACCTCCCCTCACTGTCCAGGGCTGTGCTGGCACAAGTGACATGAAACTCGTGTCCATATTTCTCTTTTTCTCAGTGATTCTTTATCACCTTGAGGTCTCCAGTGAGTGTCTAACCCTCCAAACACCCTCCTTGCGAGGAGGGGGGGAGACAGGAAGGAGGAATCTCCCTCCAGGCAGCAGATGGAGCAGGGCTGAGTGAGATTTGCACTTCATGGTCACTTGACCCCTGGAAAAGGGCCACACGAGTCCCTCTCCCCTGCCAAAGCTCCAAGTCAGCAGGGGCGGAGGAATGAAGTGTAATTTGGACCTTTAGGCTGATCCTGGCCCAAATGCCTCCCCCGTGGGCCATTGGCAGGGAGGTAGGAGCTCCAGCAGGAGCTGCTGGCCAAGGCTGGGGAGGGCTGGGTGTGCCCCGGGTTGGTGGCCAGGCTGCCAGGTGGCCCTGGCTCCTCACGGCAGCTCCCCACGCTGCAGCTTCCACCAGCCCCTCCCATCGGTTTGTTCCCACTCTTCAGCTGTCACCTCCTGCGAGCTGCATCCATAAACATGATCAGCAGCTGATGAATGTGCTCCTTCAGCTGACACCGGAGCTGAGCCCGGGCTGGGGAGAGCACGGGGGAGATTAATTGGGCCATTGAGGGAGGAGAAACAATGCCTGTGTCGGTGTGTGCCCGGGTGAGGGATGGCTTGATGAAAACGTGAGCGTGGCAGGTAATTTAAAAAAAAAAAAAAAAAAAGGAAGAAAAAAAATCTCCATTGTTCCCGATGGAGGGGAAAGGAATTATTTGTGTAATTCCCCATTAGTCTGAGCTGATGAGCTGAACGAGGGGCAGACCCAGCCCGGCAGCCCCGAGTGCTGCGCTTGGCACCGGTCACAGGGGGGTTTTGTGGGTGGTCAGACAGGCTGTGCTGGTTCTGGCCAAATCTGAGCCTTCAAACCTGCACTCCCTGCCTGTCCTGCCCCTTCCCTCCTCTGGGGACTGTGCAAGTCCTGGGGACAGGGGACATTTCCCCCACGGGAGAGCAAAGGAGTGATCACAGAGCAGCAAATAGAAATGTTCCTGAGGCTGACTTTGACATGGAGAGGAGCTGCCCAGGGGAGGCAGGATGAACCATCCTGGTGGGGTTTCTACCTCTTCTTTCCTCCCTTTTTTTTTTCCCTAAGTGATTCTCCCAGAGCATTTCTTCCCTCCTTGGCAGTGGGAAGCTGGACTTCTCCCAGCAGTGGGACCAGCCCAGCTGCAGTGTCCATTCCCCACAGCTCATCTGAAGGGGATGCAGGAGTCCTGCTGAACTGCAGAACCTGGGGCAGGGTCTGATGCCCCTGGCAAAGGGAACCAAGCAGCCCTTATTCTTGCAAAGGCCACAGAGCTGCTTTGTGCTCTCTCAGCCTCCCAAAAACTGCCCTTTCCCTGTTGCAGCATCAGGCTAAATCCAGACCTCTGGTGGCCCCATTTAAAGGCTTGATGGTCCATTTAGAAAAGGTGAAGATACTCTGCACTTAGGAGAAATAGTGTTGATGTGATTATGAATGGCTCTAACGTGACAAACTGGCCACAGCAGGCTCAGTGCCCCAAAACTGGTTCGTGTCTCCCCTGTGCCCTGTCACGGTGCTCCCACTGATGCCACAGACAGGCAGCCAGCATTGCCAGTGCTGCAGCACCCTGGCCAGGATTGGAGAGGCTGGTGACCTCTCAGGCCCCTCTGCCAGAGCTGAGCCCGTGGGGAGAACTGGAGGACACACAGCCAGTCACGACTGCAGCCACGGGAGGCAGCTGGGCACGGCTCAGAGAAATGGGCAACCCCTGGGCCCTGGGAGGAACTTCCCTGCCAGGAAGGGTCACAGAGTCACCGGAGTGCAGATGAGAGGGGGTGCAGACAGCTTTGTCTGACCTCCTTGGCGTCTCAGGGCTGTGGGTGTGAGGTTGGGTGAGACACCTCCTGCAGAAAGGCAGCCAGGTTGGATTTAAAGGGATGGAGAAGCTCCTGTTCCTCCTGTAGCTTCAGCTCTGGCTGGTCTCCAGCTTTTCCTGTGACGTTACCTGGCCAGTGCTTTCAGTGACTTCTACCCCCAATTCTTCTGCTTCTCTGCCCCTGCAGAAATCCCACCCCACACCTGGGTTAGCATTTTCCTTCTTACACCCATTCAGGTATTTATTTCAGCTCCATGCTCAAGCTCCCCCATCCACTCTTCCCCTCTGACAAGTCAAGATGAACGTGCTCTTCCACAGCTTCACAAAAGAAGCGACGCTGCAACTTTTTAAGGCAGACAGTTCATTTAATAATGAATAAAAGGGTCTGGGCTAGAGGCACTGACAGCAAACTCTCTTACTGGGATTCCCCTCTTGCTTCCTAGGGCTGTGAAGTTCTCAGCCAAGCTGATGGGACAGGCCATGGCCAAGAGGGTCAAGGCCACCATCCTGTACGCCACGGAGACGGGGAAGTCCCAGGTCTATGCAAAAACTCTGTGTGAAATCTTCAAACACGCTTTCGATGCCAAGGTATTGCCCCAGCTCCTGACTCCTGCAAGGGGGTGGGCACAGAATTGTGGGTGGGCCAAGGAAATATATATGGATGTTGGGAAATACGTGGTTCGATGCCCGTGGAGCTTCCTGGCTGCCAAGGGACTCCAGCAGCTCCCAGGGTGTGCTGGTTTAAGGTAAACCAGCCGGGGAAATGAACCCAACTCAAAAGAGAGATTATAAATCAGAATAACAATTTAATAAAATAGTACAGTAAGTACGATTATACAGACAAACAATTGTTTTAACCCACAAAACCCAAATGTATAACCCAGCACCCTGGGGCATGAACAGAGTGGTGTTCGTTGGGCCCCCTGAGTCCAAAGGAAAAGGAGAGGGGAAAGCATGTTGGTGAGAGTGGTGGTCTCAGTCTGGTTGAAAGTGATGGTTGCAGTCTTCCTCTGGATCCCACAGGTGGTTAAAAAAGTCCCAAGACCCCAAGATTATATATCCTCAGGTTCAGGCAGGGATGTCCAGGAGTTCCACAATGAGTGTGAGGACAGGAGCACCCTCCTGTCTCACAGGCCTCTTAACACCCAGTTTACAGCCTGAGGGGTCAGGGCTGCTCTGGGCAGAGGGTGTAAATGGTCTGTTGAGAACAGTTCCTGGGCAATGGCATGGAAGGCTCTGGAATACCCAGTTTTGGGTTACACCCATCCAGTGATGAACTGGTCCCAGCTGTTCTAACTAGGACACAGGGTCTGGGTTGACACCTGCAGAGGAATTTTTCCAGCTAATACTCCTGCATTGTAGCACACATATTCCTACAGCCTCTTGAGGGGCAGCTCCATGGTTGTCCATGTCCCTCGTGGCTCTTGTCCTCATCCTCCCTGTGGGGGGATCTCTGCCAGAGCACCAGCATGGAGTCAGCAGGGACATGTCCCATCTCCAGGTGGAATGGGGTCCATCCCAGCAGACTGGCTGGTGGTGGATCTCCCCAGCTCCTGCTGCCCTCTCTGTCCCCTCCCAGGTGATGTCCATGGACGAGTACGACGTCGTGCACCTGGAGCACGAAACCATGGTCCTGGTGGTCACCAGCACCTTTGGCAACGGGGACCCCCCCGAGAACGGAGAGGTAGGACAGAGCACAGGGGTGGGGGGCTGCAGCAGGGGACAGGCACTGGCACATGGGGAAGAACATCCTCTTTTCGCCCAGCCTGGGCTGGAATGGCCCAGGACAGGTCTGGGCGTTGTGTGACACGTGGTGCTGGACCTGCCTAAATCCAGCCTGCTCAGAAATGGGGATACCTGCTTATTCCCACTCACAGCCACTGATCACAGCTTCATTTCCTGCAGAGCCTGGCAAAACTGATGGCCTATTTTATTCCCTTTCTGCAGAAATTTGGCTGTGCGTTGATGGAGATGAAGAATCCCAACTCCCACCTGGAGGAGAGGAAGTAAGAGCACTCCAAACCCCTCCCTCCCCACTCCAAACCCCAGCAGCCCCCCCCCCAGCCAGGATACCCTGCTTCTCAGCCTTCATCCTCCCAGAAGGGAGTGGGAAATCCTCATGCAGGAATCACGTTTGCAAAGATCCAAGGGATGGGACCCGCCTGGAGAAGCAGGGAATGGAGAGAGAGGAGGTCCCAGGGAGGACAAACATACTGGGCCTGTGGACTCCAGCTTGTAGTTCCATTTCAAAGCTCCTTTGTTCAGCTTTAAGAGTCAGGAATCTATGAAAAAACCAAACAAACAAATAAAAGTAGGAACTCCCCCAAAATCATCGAATCTGAGAGCTGGGGCTGTCCAGGAGACACAAAAATAGTAGGAGCTGGAGGTAGAAGGGAGTTCCCTGCTATGTGGATGTAGGTGGAGGGAGGGCTCGGGAACCAAATTTAACTTCATGCATCGTGTGAAAATATTTCTAGGGAAAAATAAGAGCTGTTATAAACCCTGCAATGTTTGTAACAGCGAGTCTGGAACTGGTGCCTTGGAGACAGAATCCGGGGTTGTAGAAAATCCCCCCTCGCTGGGTGATGAGCCTTGAGCATCTCGGTGCAACATTCCAGAGGCTGGGAAGGGAGGGCAGACAAAGTGTTAATAATTGCTTGGGGTCTCCTCTGATTTTAGCTACTAAGAAGAATATATTCCCCTGAACTGGGACACTGCTCTGCTCTGGAATGTCTGCCCAGTCAACAACCGGCAAAAGGCTGCTCCTTAATTACGGGTGAATTAGCCCCGGTCAGGGGGGTGCAGGGGGATTTCCCCGCCCTGCCTCTCTGCCTGAGCAGCGTGGGTGGGGCTGCAGGGCGGTGACAAACACCAATTTGTGGCTCTCCAGTGCTGGCCACCCCGCAGCCCCGAAGCTGTCCCCTTGCTGAGCAGCCGAGTCCTCTGAGGGATCCTCGCAGGGCTGCTGAAAACCCACCTGGTTCCTGATGGCCTCGTGCCTTAATGGGGACAGCCGACAAAACAGGGATGCCCTGGAGGTGTCTGCACCATTTCACACGTGGTTCTCACCCCGAGGATCTTCACTTTTTGGGGTGCAACACCGGGTTGGGTGCGGTGCCGCCCGTGAGGAGCCAGGCAGATTTGAGGAGGATAAAAAGCCCAGTTTATAAAAAGCTCAGGGCTCGTTGTCCCAGTCACCTCTAAGTGTAATTTCAGGGCTGGCAGGAGTTTCTAAGAGCCAGGAGAGCCTGTGGCTCCGTTACCTGACAGCAAAAGTGGGCAGAGTGCTGGAAACAGCGACGGATCAAAAGGGTGAGAGCTATTTTATCTGGAGGAAAGGAGGCAGAAATGGAGTGAGGTGGCAGATTTCGTAGATGGAAAAGGTGGCTGCAGAGGTGGAGGGAATAAATTGCTGCCTGTGCTCCCTGCAAGACAGGCCAAGAGGTCACAGCTCTGGATGGCAGGAAGAGATCACAGAATCACAGAATGGTTTGGAGGGGAAGGGACCTTAAAGCTCATCCAGTCCCACCCCCTGCCATGGGCAGGGACACCTCCCACCAGCCCAGGTTGCTCCAAGCCCCGTCCAGCCTGGCCTTGGACACTCCCAGGGATCCAGGGGCAGCCACAGCTCCTCTGGGCAACCTGTATTTATGCTTGGGATTGCCCCAATCCATGTCCAGGACTTTGCTGATATTAAACATGGAAAAAAGCTTTTGCAGTGAGAAAAGGAGACCTGGAGGAGACTGTCTGGGGAAGAGGGACAGTGTCAGCCTGGAATCTGTAGAATAGAACTGGAGAGAGCAGTTCCTGCCCACTCCCAGCTCCGTGTCCAACAGGGAATGCTGAGGGTGGCTGAGACCCCTCAGGGTGGGGTGGCCTCTCTAAATCCCAGTGTCTGGAGGAGCCTGCCAGGGCACTGTGGCCGTAGCTCTCTGACCACAGCCCTGTGGTTGTGCTGTGGTTGTAGATTTGATTCCTCATGTCTTCCAGCAAGGGTTTTCCAAGGGTTTTCCGAGGCATTCATCAGCCATTCCTATTTAAGGACCTGCTGCTCAATGCAGCCCATCCTTCAGCAGTCATTTCCCACCACAGGGACCTTCCCATTGCAGCAAAAGCTGCTGGTGCCCCATCCTTGGACCCAGCACACCCCTGGGGAATCTGGGCTTTGTGCCCACCTCCCCCCGTGGGTTGTGCTGCCCTGCCCTGCCCTCCCCACACAACCTGGGCTGACCCGGGGGCACGACACGGGCACAGCAGAGGAAGAAGTGGACCCAAGCAGGTGGAGTGAAGCAGGAAAGCGTGGAAATCTGGGAAGGAAGGAAGGAGGAGGCTGTGGAGCAGCCCTGGAGCCCAGGGCTCTGTGACCCTGGCAGTGGTTTCTCTCCGGGGTTGTCTCTGTGATGCCGTGCCGGGTGCAGGAGGTCTGCCGTGACTCATGCACACACCACAGCCTCGCTGCTCTGCCAGTATATTTAGAAACCCTTGTGGAGAGCAATTTTTGAAGATGGTTCGATTCAGAAATACTTCTGCTGTTGTCAGATTTTTTTTTTCCTCCGCTCCCCTTCCCCCTCCTCATCCCTTCTTCTCTCGCTCCTTTTTTTTTTTGATTTTAAATTTATTTTCCACTTCCTATGAATGAAAAAAACCACCCTCAGAATATCTGTTCAGACATACACCCGACCTTGTGTGCTGCCAGGGAAGGACAGGTGGTGCCAAAGGTCCTGTCAGCTCTGCACCACTGGGGACAATGGGGCGGCCAAGGACCTCATGGAGCTGACCGTGGGTGGCCTAACCCTGGGAGGGAGCACATGGAATATTGAACCCTGAGCTCTGGCTGGGTGTCCTGCACAATTTGGTCCCCGGGGAGGACCCCCCCCAGGCGTCACCTCTGGAACACTGGCTGTTGTTGCTGTTCACAGGAGCTACAAGGTCCGTTTCAACAGCGTCTCCTCTTACTCGGACGCTCGGAAATCCTCCAGTGATGGCCCTGATTCCAGGGACAACTTTGAGAGCACGGGGCCTCTGGCTAACGTCAGGTAAAGGGGACGGGGCGGGAGGCAGGAGTTCCTGCTGCAGGAGGGACAGAGCAGGAGCCGGTGCTGCACAGAGCCCGTCTGCCCCCCCAGCTCTTACCCCACACACGGTGTATTTTAGCCACTTGCAGACCCCTCCACGCTCCCTGGGGGGTGGTGGGGCAGGAGAGGGGGGTGCCAGTGTCCCTCCCAGCTGGGCAGCCACAGCTGAGCCCCCTCTCCGCAGGTTCTCCGTGTTTGGGCTGGGCTCACGTGCCTACCCCCACTTCTGCGCCTTCGCCCGGGCCGTGGACACGCTCCTGGAGGAGCTGGGCGGGGAGAGGATCCTCCGCATGGGAGAGGGGGACGAGCTCTGCGGCCAGGAGGAGTCCTTCAGGACCTGGGCCAAGAAGGTCTTCAAGGTAAACCCGCTTCCCTGGTGCTCCGGGGAGGAGCAGGGGGGAGAAGAACAAAGGGACAGAGCACAACTGCTGGTTAGAGCAGGATCAAAACCCAGCCTCTCCTTCCCTGCTCTGGGACACTCTGGCACCACCCCAGCCCGGGATGCTCTGTATTTTGGTGGAGGTGACGCTCTGGTTTGTGCTGCACACCGAGGGGGAGCGCTGGCTTGAATTCCTGTGTTATCCCAGATGTTTGGGGAAGGAGGGCACCACAAGGCACACCCATGGCCACGGGTGTAGCCCTGCATGTTGGGGGCTCCTTCTCCTCGGTTGGCAGGGGTGGGCTGGGACAAGGGGGCTCCCCAGGGGCAGGGGGGGATGCCTGAGAGCCTGGTGTGTGCTGCAGGCAGCGTGTGACGTGTTCTGCGTGGGGGACGACGTCAACATCGAGAAAGCAAACAACTCCCTCATCAGCAACGACCGCAGCTGGAAGAGGAGCAAGTTTCGGCTGACCTACGTGGCCGAGGCCCCAGAGCTCACACAAGGTATGAAGATGGGGTCACCTGGTGGGGCAGGTGGAGGAGACACAGTGGGTTTTACTGAGGGCAAAGGGGCCAAACCTCCTTGCTTGTTCTGTGTTAAATTCCCAGCGTTTCGGCCTTGCCTTTCACCGCCATCACATGCCCAGGGAGCAGCTTGTGATGGTCTCAGGCCCCTCTGGCTGGTCCCTGTCTGTGTCCGTAACAGAGATGTTTGGAGATGATCTGATCTCCCTCCTCCTGACCCCATTTTTTGAACCAGGGAGCTGGAAACCTGGGATCTTTCCAAGCTCTCTCCGTCCAATGCCGCTCCATGGCAGGTCCAGCCCAGCGACACCTGGCCCCTCAGCACGGCTCCTGCAGCTGAGGATCTGCCGCACTGGCTGCTCAGCTCTTCCCAAATCCAGGCTCTTCCCTGCCAGCCAGGTGGCCCTGGCAGCGAGAGGTGCCTGCGGGCATGTGAGGGCACATCCCTGCGTCTCAGAGTCCTCCTGGGTCACTGACAAAAGGGACACGTGTTTGGTTGTCCCCTGGGGTTTCTGATCCCCCAGGCTCGCTGGAGCTGTGCAGGAGGGTGGTCAAGCAGAAGGGTGGTGAGCCCGTGGTCCTCTGGCTGTGGCCAGCACTGGTCTGAAGGGCTGAGCCCTCAGCAGTGACCAACAGCCCTGCGAGAGCCAGAGGCCTCTGCTGAATTCCTTCCCTGACACTTCTCCTCCTCAGGACTGTACAGCATCCACAAAAAACGTGTCTATGCAGCCCGGCTGATCACGCGCCAGAACCTGCAGAGCCCCAAGTCCAGGTAGGAAGTGCAGCTCTCCTGGGAGCTGGACACCCTGGTGGTGCACCCAAGCACCCGTGCACGCAGTGCTGCTGACCTTGACCCCTGAACGCCCCATGGAATCCACCTCTGTGCAAACCCTGAGTAATGCTGGAAGCCACGTGAAGCCAGGGAGGGGTGTTCCCCGCCTCTGTGCCCGGCAAAGTCTCTGCTGCTGCTGCCTCAATTAGCCCCGGGGGATGGGAAGCCAAAGAAACGATCAAATTGCTGAAACAAGAGGTTAAACTGTTTTTTTTTTCCCCTTTTTGAAAAGCCCCCGAGGGTGAGTCAGCGGTGCGGGGCGGGGGGGGGAGGCGGGGATGCAGCGTCCCCTCTCCCTGCTGTGACCTTGGGGACACGCTCAGGGGGCACCGCGGCTTGGCCGTGCCACCAGTGCCCAGCACGCCCAGCAGCTCTGGAGGCCAGAGCTCAGCGACTCCCCCAAAAACACATCCTGCTTTCCCTCCTTTCCCTGCAGCCGCCTGACGATCTTCCTGCGCCTGCACACCGAGGGGCACCAGGGGCTGCAGTACCTGCCCGGGGACCACCTGGGGGTGTTTCCAGGGAACCACGAGGACTTGGTCAACGCCCTGATCGACAGGCTTGAAGATGCCCCTCCGGCCAACCAGCTGGTGAAGGTGGAGCTGCTGGAGGAGAGGAGCACTGCTCTAGGTAACCAGGGCCACCTCCTGCACGGGTGGCCTCTCTCCTCCTCACCCAGCTCCTGCAGCAGCTCCTCAGGGTGCTGGGTGGCCCCCAGGAGAAATCATTTCCCGTCTCACTGCTGTGTGTTCCTGGATTGGGAGCACCTCCTTCAACCTTCCTCTGCCCAGAGCTGTGGCTCCTCTGCACTTGGGATGTAGAGAAAGGGTTTGAAGGGTGAGCAGGGCCCTGGGGAAGATATTTCCTTATTCCTTGGGAAAATTAAAGGTGTTTATATTTTCATAGAAAGAGCAACGTCTAGGACTGGAAAGAAGAGTTAGGGGGTGTTGATGGACCATCCCAACACTGTATTTCGGGTATAAGTCTGACACAGCCATGCACAGTGTAACCAGAGCTGGAACACAGTAATCCACTGTCTCAGAGCTGACATGGGGGATGAAAGCAGAGATTTGCCCACCTTGGCTCTTGTGCTGATCCCGTGCTTGTGCTGCATTCCCTCCTGGCAGGTGTCATCAGCAACTGGACAGACGAGAACCGTGTCCCACCGTGCACCATCTTCCAGGCTTTTAAGTACTATTTGGACATCACCACCCCTCCCACGCCCCTGCTGCTGCAGCAGTTTGCTTTGTTGGCCACCAGTGAGACGGAGAAGAAACGTCTGCAGGTCCTCAGCAAGGTAAGGACCCCAAGCCCCCTGTTCTCCAAGGCCCTGAGGGACAATCACAACCCCAGGGCATTTTCATCCCACACTGTTTGGTGAGGCTGAGTCTCCACCCATGGCAGCAGGACTCCTCCTGCCCTACCTTCACTGCCACCCACCCTTTGCTACGGGCCTGGTGGGATATCAGTGGAGGCACCTGGCTTGGAAGAGGTGGATGCTGCAGCTCTCTCCTCCCTCCCTCCCTCCCTCCCTCCCTCTCTCCAGGGCCTGCAGGAGTACGAGGAGTGGAAGTGGTCCAAGAACCCCACCATCGTGGAGGTGCTGGAGGAGTTCCCCTCGGTGCAGATGCCCTCCACGCTGCTGCTCACACAGCTCCCCCTCCTCCAGCCACGCTACTACTCCATCAGCTCCTCCCCAGAGCTGTACCCGGGCGAGGTCCATCTCACCGTGGCCGTGGTCTCCTACCGCACCAGAGGTACCGGGCTGGGGGAAGCAGGGGCAGAGCAGCAGCACATGGAATCATAGAATCATAGAATCATAGAATGAGCTGGGTTGGAAGGGGCCTCTGAGATCATCCAGTCCAACCCTTGATCCAACCCCGCCGTGGTTCCCAGCCTATGGCACTGATGCCACATCCAGTCTTACCATAAAAACCTCCAGGGACAGAGAATCCATCCCCTCCCTGGGCAGCCCATTCCAATGCCTGATTACCCTTTCTGTTAAGAATTTCTTCCTAATATCCAACCTAACCCTCCCCTGGCACAGCTGAAGACCCAGCCCTCTTGTCTTGCTGATGGTTGCCTGGGAGAAGAGACCAACCCCCCCCTGGCTCCCCCCTCCTGTCAGGGAGTTGCAGAGAGTGAGGAGGTCTCCCCTGAGCCTCCTCCAGGCTGAACAGCCCCAGCCCCCTCAGCTTCTCCTCACAGCACTTGTGCTCCAGTCCCTTCCCCAGCCTTGTTGCTCTTCTCTGGACCTGCTCCAGCCCCTCAATGTCCTTTCTGAGCTGAGGGGCCCAGAGCTGGACACATGGGCAACAGCACAAAACCTTTGGCAGAGAGATGGTATTTAAAGCTTTTCTACCTGTTGGAGTGACCAGATTCCCTCAACCCATGGCACGGCTGTGCCATGTTATGGAGAACAACCGTCCATAAAACGGCAGCTTATTCCAGAGGTGCCGTGTCTGGGTGAGGTGCATAATCCAAGCTCTGTGTAGGGCCCTGTTTGCCCACCCCAAAGTCCACATTGCCCCTAGGAAAATTTCTGTACCTGCCCAAGCAGCCCTGGTGATGGTGTAGATGGGCAGGGCCCTGGTGCTCCTGCAGCCGGTGGGACACAGGGAAGACAGCAGGTGGGACACAGGGACATCCATCTGGGGCTGCCACGGAGGGCTTGTGCCTGGGAGCACCACAGCACAATGCTGCTCCTGCCAAAAAGGACCAAAGAAGAGTCGGGTTCTTCCTAAATATTGTGGAGGCCCAACTCTCCCAGGTTCTGGGTGAACTTGGGCAGCTCCACGGCGGGATCTGAGTGCCAGTTCTACCAAGTTCTACAAGGGGAATGGGTGCAGAGACACTGACTGTCTCAGTGAGGTGTTCATGTGGGATGTAGCAGGGAGGGTTCTAGGAAAGAGGACAACTGGAGTTGTTGGCTGGTGCATCACGTACAGACTTCCTTCCCTTCCCTCCCAGATGGAGAAGGGCCAATCCACCACGGAGTCTGCTCCTCTTGGCTCAATCGGATACAGCCCGATGAAGTGGTGCCCTGCTTTGTAAGGGGGTAAGTGTTCCACAAGGGGTGAGAAAGATTGGGTGAGCCCCCTTGCAGGATGGGATGTCTACCCTCAATTCTTCTCATGGTGGGAGAAAACAAGGCTGGATTTGTGAGCAAAAGCCCTCGGGTGCAGTTCTGCGCTAAAATGTTGCTCTCTGGGATTTCACCTGGTTTTCTACCCCTCCCTGCCCGGGTGCTGTCTCAGCTGGCTGTGGGCAGAGGTGAGGGAGGGAGCTTGGGTTTAACCGGTGTCTTTGGTGTGTGCAGTGCCCCCGGGTTCCACCTGCCCCAGGACCCCCAGGTGCCCTGCATCCTCATCGGCCCCGGCACCGGCATCGCCCCTTTCCGCAGCTTCTGGCAGCAGCGGCTTTTTGAGATCCAGCACAAAGGTGGGTCAACGCTTGTCCCTCCTGAACCTCGTCTCAGGTGCTGTTGGGGAACCCTGGGCTGGTGGCAGAGGGATGGAGGGGTCCAGTCTCCTGCCTGGGATGTCCCAGCGGATCTGCTGGCAGGTCTGGAGGGAGGTGGCTTCCAGAACCTGGGGATCGGTGATCCCTGGGTTACCTGCTTCCAATCCTCCCCAGGGCTGAAGCCTTGTCCCATGGTCCTGGTGTTTGGCTGCCGGCAGTCCAGGATCGACCACATCTACAAGGAGGAGACGCTCTTTGCCAAAGCCCAAGGTGTCTTCAGAGAGCTGTACACAGCCTACTCCCGGGAGCCAGACAAACCAAAGGTGTGTGGTGGGCACTGCTGCGGTGCTGCCGGGCAGCCCTGGGTGGCCCTGGCCAGCCAGCACATGGTGGAGGTGCCTGTCCCTTGGCACGGCCCTGGTAGCTCATGCCATGAGTGTGCAGGATCATCCCTTCCCGGTGCAGCCCCATTCCCAGGGCACGCCCCCATCCCTGCACCACCCCAATGTGTGCCCACGCTGCTCATGCTTTGCCCTGGGGGGCTGCAGCCATCCTCACCGGGTGGGAGCAGATGAGGGAGGGGAAAGGGCCATCTTCTCAAGCAGGTGGGCGAGGAGGGATGTCACCAGAGCCAGCGCAAAGCCTGCTCCGAATTCCCACAGGCACCTGAGCAGGCCTGGCCACGAAAGACATGGTGAAGGTGTGAACGTGCAAGAGCAGGACGATGCTCTGCCGCCTTCCCCATCTCTTTTCTGTCCCTGTGGGTGCTGCGAGGCTCAGGCTCGTTCCCCCAAAGAGGTGTCACCTTGCACTGCTGCCTCAAGGGCGGCTGGTGCACACAGAGCCCGCGGGTGGGTAGGGCTGAGAAACTGGAGTCAATCCCATCTCCCTCCTCCTCCTCCTCCCTCAGAAATACGTGCAGGACGTGTTGCAGGAGCAGCTGGCCCAGACGGTGTTCAGAGCGCTGAAGGAGCAGGGAGGCCACATCTACGTCTGCGGGGATGTCACCATGGCCGGGGACGTCCTCAAGACCGTCCAGCGCATCGTGAGGCAGCAGGGCCAGCTGTCGGTGGAGGAGGCGGGCGCCTTCATCAGCAAGCTGAGGGTGAGCGGTGTGTGCCCCCTGAGACCCCACATGGCCCCTGCCACGGGCAGTGCAGCTGCTGCCTGCTCCTGCCTGCTCCTGCCGCGCGGGCAGCGCGAGGTGACGGGCCCTGGGAAGGGGGGTTGTGGTCCTGCCCCCGCTGCCGAGGCCTGGGAGAGGTCAGGAGGGTGATCTCCCAGAAGTTCGGGTGCACAGGGGAAGTCTCGTTGCTCTGCAGGAGCCCTGCAGCCCCCTCAGCCCACGCTGGGCTCCTGGGATGAGCTGCTGCTGTGCTGGGCACTGGGACAGAACCTGCTGGGCACCCTTGGTAGCCCAGGCAGGGATTGTTCACCTTGATCAGTCCCTCCTTCAAACAAGGATTGCTTTTAAGTCCCTCTATCACAGACCACTGTGCTAAGTCCCTCTGTCCCACCCATCCACCAGGGCAGTTTGTGGGGCCCCCTGTCCAAATCTCCCCATCTCTGTGGCTGGCAGGGTGATGTCCCTGGGCAAACACATTGCCCAGATGTTGCAGCTGGAGCCCAGACGAGCTCAGTTTGGGACACAGGCCCAGGCATGGATGCTCAGGAAGATAATGCAGCCTGATTCCTGTGGGATGACCCCTTCTGAACCACGTCCCCACACTCCACCCAGGAGCTGAGGGATCCCAGTTGGTTGTACATGGGCTGGCTTTGGGCTGCTTGTCCCCCTGACGCCAGGCAGTCCCTGGGCTGCCAGCAGCTGAGGAGATCTAACACAGGGAGCAGCTCCTGGGCTGCCCCACACTGTGACCTTGGCAAGGTCATTTCCCCTCCCTGCTCACTCCTGCCCCTCTGCCCTGCCATCCCACCCCCTCCCGTGACAGACCCCAGGCCCTTCGCCGTGTGTTTGGCACCTCCCCGCCACACCAGAGCCTGCAACAACGCCAACTGTTTGCAAATGCTCCTTTTTCCCCTCTGCCACCCTGTCCCTCAGGATGACAGCCGGTACCACGAGGATATTTTTGGAGTCACCCTGCGTACGTACGAAGTGACGAACCGCCTTAGATCCGAGTCCATCGCCTTCATCGAGGAGAGCAAAAAAGACACGGATGAGTGAGTTCACATGTTTGTTTTAACCCCTGCAATGGCCTCCCAAGTGCGTGGGCTGCAGGACTGGGAAGGGATGGGGAAGGAAGATTTAACTTCCTTAACCTCCCTGGTCCTGAGAAAGGCATGGATTTTGGCGCTCTGAAATAGGAGTCACCTGAAATAGGTGTCTCTGAAATAGGGTCTCTGACATAGGTGTCACCTCACTAGGACAAATCCCCCCCCCCCGGCTTCCTGGGTTACTGCACTGAGTGCTCAGACACCATCCTATCCAAAGGGAATTTCCAAGGAAAACAGCCCTGCCAGCTGCCTTCCTCCAGGCTGGAAAGAGCCGTGGGAAGGGGTGACTCCCCCCAGCTCCAGGGGGGGACCTGGCTGGCTCCAGGTGTCCATGCAGCAGGTGGGAGAGGTCTCCAGGATGCTCCATGCCCGGTTAGGAAAGATCTAGGGATTTTTTCTTCCTGCTATTGTAAAAACAACCAGAAGAAGTAAAAAGTCTTGACATTTTGCTGTGTTTGTTTCTGCTCTACCATGTCCTGCCATTTGCTCAGCTCTGTCATGGTGGGATTTTCCCTGGCTGAGCAGAAGGATTATTTAGGATAAAGGATGGGCAGCTGAGTGGATCTTGCTCCTTGTGCTGGCCCTCAGTAGCCTGACCCAGAGCTTGGCTCTGGGTTTCCCAACATCCCTGAGGTTTGGTGGGAATTTTTCTCCCGAGGTGTCACATGCTTTGGGGTCTGCACTGTACACGGAGCACCTGAGAGAGGGATAAAGGTTCCCTTCCTCACCCAGCTGCAAAGGGCTCTGTAAACCCCTGCCTGTGGCAAATCCAGGTCGGGATGATCCCGTGCTCCTCACTGCTCCCCCTAAGGCTGGCCTTTCTCCCCTTTCCCTTGCAGGGTTTTCTGCTCCTAACCGGACCCTTCGCCCCAAGGGGATGCCAAACCAGTCCCAGCACCTGCTGCCCCCTCCAGCTGGAGGGCACTGGGTTTTGTATTTCACGGACACGGTGGCTCCTTTTCCACGGGGAACTGCCCATGGAAAGCGCTCTGTCTCTCGTCCTGTTGTTGTGTCCTGATGATGATGATGATGACTTTTATTTCCTTTTCTTCCTCTTTCTCTTGCTCTTGTCCTGTGGCCATTTCTTCCCCCCCCCCCCCCCTTCCCTTCCCCGGATTTCCCCACTGAAGTACGATGGCTTTATAACCTGCAGTGGCTCTTTACAGATCTCCACATTTCCCCTCCTCCTCACCAGGGCATTTTGCAGCTGCATGAAATCACCACCTTCGTGATCACCCGCGTTTTTGGTGTTTTGGGGGAGAGCAGAGGTGGCAGGGGGTGGGCAATGGCTCGGTCCTGTTGCTTGACTAGAGCAGGGGGTCATTCCCCCCAGGATCCCCCTTTCCCCAGCTCGGGGCTTGGCTGAATCCTTGTGTTTTCATGGTTTTCCTTTGGGCTTGTACATATGCCCGAGGCTGGGGGCAGATGATGTGCAGTGCCCTCGTGCCTGTGAATGTTGTTCCCCCCCAAGCAGCCTGGGTACAGATGTGTCTGTTTGTGTCAGGATTTATGTGTCATGATTTCTCCTAAATGGGCTCTGTGCTGTGTTTGCCCCTTTCTCTGCTCCCTGTTCCCTGTGAGCCTCTCCCTCTGCTCAGTCCCCACTTTTGCTGGCATGAAAGTCCTCCCCCAGAGGAGCAAGCACAGAACACACAGGCTGATGTGCATGCTGAGGAAAAGCTCGTGGCAGTGACTGCTGCTGGGCCAGGCTGTTCTCCAGAGGGTTTCACAGGAGATATGGGATCTGCAGCCACGATGCTGGTGGGAGAGATTGAGACTGGGCTGCATTCCAGAGCTTTGCATGCTGTGAACCCTCTCCCAGGTGAGCCTGGAAAGCCATGAGGATGGGAGAGAAGCCTCTCCAACTCCAGCTGCAAGAGGCACCTCTTGTTACAAAGCTTATTGGGAAGGCAGCACATGGAGGGTTGTGGAGGCTCCAGGTCCTTGGTGAGGATGTGCCAACGGAGGAGTCTTGAAACCCCGGAGAGCATCAGCTCCACCTTAGCACAGTGCCATGGGCAGTTCTGGCACAGCAGACCCCAGCCACTTCCACAGCTTTGGGAGCAGAAAACGCCAGCGTGGAGCGACCTCCTGCCAGGAGAAATCCGTGTGCATCCCTGTGGTGAACCAGTCCCCTCGGCGGGAGCACGAGCTGTCTCTGCCAGGACGTCTCCTGTGAGAAGGGAGGTGAGGTCAGCTGCAAAGGTGCTGTGTGATTCTGGGCTCTGACACCCTCACACCTCAGCCCTGCTGCAAAAACCCGGCCCCAAAAGCAAGCTGTTAACACGGAGAGGTATCAGTCCCTTTAACAGGGGAGAGCTGCCTGCGAGGTAAAGCACGTGCGACCTTGTGTGTCCTTCCTCCTCCTCTCTTCCGCACCCCGAAGAAGGTTTGTCCTCCCTCATTGCCAGGACAAGGACAGCAGGACGTGGCTGCAGCTCTGGCTGGAGGCAGGGAGAGGAGGTTGGCATTTGGAGGTGGCAGGTGCTGGTGCTTTCCCCCTGCCCCTGCTCTGCTGAGCTGTGCACTGAGGCTTGCACGGAGCGAAGCATCAAAATTGGCCGCGGCAGAGGCTTTGTCCAGGAGCTGCACTGGTGAGCTCGCTTTCAGGGGGCTGAGATTGTCTGCCCTAAGCCAAAGTCAGAACAAAAAACAGCTGCAGGAGGTTTGCTGCTCTCCCAGCCCACGGAACAAGCCGTGCTGGCTCCCCAGCCTCGGGCTGTGCGGTTATTCCCACCCTCATCCAAGACCTTCTGCCCTCTCCTTCCTCTTGCCTGGCTGCATCTCCACGTGCCGTGACCATCTTCTGCAACTTCGACTCCCTGAATGCTTGAAGGAACTCCAGCCCAAAATCCGGGAGCGAAAAGCCTCCAGGCACCGGGAGGATTTGAGATCCAGGCCTCGTTTTTGCTGGTCCCAGTACGAAACGCGAAGGAATGCTGCCACAGTGTGGCCAGAGCCGAGCTCGCCGGGCTGGCAGGGCTGGCAACAGGGCAGGGAGCCAGGGGCACAGCCAGCTTTGTGTCAGCCCCCCCCCGGGCACTTGGTGACCTGGGGGTGAAGGCAGGGCAGGGCAGGGAAAAGGGCAGCCCACGGTGCATCTCTCTGGGTTGTGCCCTAAAGCCAGGGCGGGCAGTGGGATGGGGGTCCCTTTGCTGAGTCCCTCTGCTGCTGGGATGGGGGAGTTTGGGCAGAGGAACTGTTTGTGGGGACAGCTCCCAGGCCCCAGAGCCTGGTCCTGCCCCCCGACCCTCTGGCTGCAGAAACACAGCTAAAGGAATAAAATCAAACTCATCCTTTTCTTTGGGGAAATTTGATTCTGGCTCTGGGCTTTGTGCTCTGGGCCTCCTTGGGTAGAAGGAGCAGTACAGCCTGAGGAGGAGGGAGTGCCCAAAGGAATTCCCTCGTCTTCATCCTCTTTCCAGCTCTCCCTGTGTTGCTGGCAAGTAGTTTCCTCCTGTCCTGCCTTCTGCCTGCATGGCTGTAACATCTCCCACCTGGAAATCGTATCGCTGCTGGGTGCTGTGTCTGAGCTGAACGGGCTTGCTTTTCCTGCACCCCAAAACTTGCCACCTCCATCACCCCCTTCCACCTGAGCTGCCGGTGCAAACAGCAGGGAACTGTGTGCCTTGCCTTGCCTTCTCTGGGGTCTCCAAAGGGGTCTGTGCCAGGCAGATGGCAAAACCCTCCCACGTTCAACAGGCGTTGGATCTGTGAGTCCTTCAGAGCCCTTTGGAAGGGAATTAATAAACATATTTTAAGGCCATGCTCCCTGCCTGGCCCTGGAGGAGAAACACCATCCCTGCCATGAAGGCCCATGGAGTTTATGTCCCCCAGGGCTCCTCTCTGCTCCCACTGAATAGGACCATTCAGTCCTCGCAAGCCACACTGGGAATTTTGATTCCCTGTTTTCTGTCGAGTCAGTCTCAGACGTCTGAATTTCTCTCCTCCATCCCCTTTGCCTGCGGGGGCTTCGCACTCCCCTCGAGCTTCATTTTCTCCCGCAACACAGGGGGAAAGAAACTTGTGGCTCTGCTTTATTATTCCATAAATGTGGCTCTTCCACCAGTTGTCTAGACTCTGCTCATCTCCATGTGACATTTCTGACGTGTGGGTGTAGCCACAATGTCTCTGGCATGAATAAATGCAGAGGGTGAGGTGGGGTCTGCCACAGATGAGCTGCTCAGGGGTGTCACACGTGGAGGGCCTGTGCCCCTTGGGCGCTCAGCTCACAAATCTGTCACCTCCAGGTGCCTGCTGCCCATCCAAGCTCCCCAGGGCTCCAGTGGCAAGGGCACCTGATGGACACCCAGCCTGACCCAGTGTCCCAATCCCTCTCCTGGTGGATATCCACCCCCACCCCCCTTTTGGAGCAGCTCTGCTCCTTTTCACTCCCCAGGTACTGAAGAGACTCTTCTCTAAACAGGAGATTTGATTTGCAAGACACTATGAAGTGGTTTTTTTCTGCAAAGATTTTAATTCATGGGTCTTTCAATCGTCCACAGAAAGGTGTTATATGGACTTGAAAACTCCTGGGAAAAGGTTCTGTGTTTTCCCAGCCTGCTGTGTCCACTAGCAGGCAAAAATCAGTTGCTCCTTCAGTGCAAGGGTATCTGGTGCCTGTGCTGTTGATGAAATTCAAATGTTTCATCTGCCCAGAAGGACGGCCTGGGAGTTTGTTGTTCTTTATGAGAGACAGCAGGAAAATAATGAGATGTCTGCCATCAGGAGTGGCCTCACAGAGATGTCACCTCCACAGCTGTGGCTGTGAAGGCCTGAGCTCGTCACACGTGAGGAACTGAGCCCGTCACACTGGCCAGAGAAATGGCTCTGACTTCGGGCCGTCCTCGCTCCCTGTCCCCTCCTGCGCCTCTGTGTCCCCAGGGCTGAGCAGGGCACTGTTCACACCCCGAGTCACCGTGTCTGTGCATGACCAGCGACCCTGCAGTTGTGTCCTGAGTGAGGAGGAGCACAGCTACTGCAGGAGAGGGGATGGGAAGAGCCAGGGGCTGCACGAGCCCGTGTCCAGCCTGTGACTGCTCCCGCGGTCCCTTTGCTGTCAGCGTGCGACGCCTCCCACCCCATCCCGGCTGCAACCAGGCTCCCTCTGCCACTTCCCTCTGGGGATCCCGCCCTTCTCCTCCTCAGCCCTGCCTGCCCAGCCAAAAGGTGCAGCCAGCTGCTGGGCAAGGGCAGCTCCTGGGAACGGACACGGACTTACAGTGCCTTGTGCTGGGAAGAGACTGTTGCTGCGGGGCCGCCCTCCTGCTCCCGCTCTCCGACTTCGTTTGACGAGGGAAATTCCCGGTGGGCAAATTCCCCCTGGGATCACAGGGAGCAAACCTGCAGCCCTGCTCAGCTGCTCTCTGCAGCTCCTCTCGCAGGGCTGGGGAGGTGTGGGTGCAGACTGAGCACCACCTGTGAGCACCACGGGGCTGTGAACACCTTGACCCCGTTTTGGTCAAGCTGGTGGTGGGGGAGAGGGTGTGTCTGTGTTTGAAGCTTCGTGGACTTGCACCAAGCCCAAGCCAAAGCTGCTGCCGCCTGACAAACGACCACTGAAGCCACTACATCGCCCTCCGGGGGCTCCCACCGTTTTTTGGAAGGATAATTTTATGCTCAAAATTAAATTTTGTTCCTTCTTTCACCGGGGACCAGTTCCCAGCTTCAGAATTGCTTCAGATAACTTTGCAATTGCGTTGATAGTTCCAGAGGGGAGCACAGTCCCTTTACAGAACAGATGGAGGCACATTTTCAGGACCATTCAACTTTACTGTAACTCTCTTTGTTATAACAATTTCTTCTGCTGTAACAGGAAGAGCAAAATTGGGCCAGTGCTCTTAAAAAACGTATTCCTGAAACTTGGACAAAATCAGTATAGGATCCTCCCAGGTCCAAAATGCCTTCCACACCCACTGGCTTCAGTGGCCCTGGGGATTTGGGCAGCTTGCAGGGTCAGGCTTGCACTGCAGCAGCAGCAGCAGCAGCAGCAGCAGCAGTTTTATGATGGCAATATTTTTGCTGTGTCAATCTGCACTTGCACGTGCCTGCAATGCATGGCTCTGGCAATCCATCCGAAATCTACCCTCCGAGGGAGATCTGAGCTCCAGCTTCTTCCATATGGCCCTGCCTGTCTTATAGGGAATCAGGGGAGTGAGGGAAAGCTGAAGAGGGGGCTGCTTTAAAGCACTCGGTTCCAGAAGTAAAACAGAGCTTAGGAGGGGTCAAAACCGGCTTGATTTTAGCACAGGTAACTCCTGAAATATTCAAGCATTGTGATGAGATCCACCTTTTCCCTGCTGTGCCCAGAATGAAGTAGACTGGAAACTCTTGGCCTCCACCCCTACAGATGTTTGGCTGTGATGGAATTTTGAGCCACTGAATCACAGGGGAAAAAAAAAACCAAACCCAAACAGATTGTGAGTTCATGGCTGAGCAGTGGCAGCTTGTTTAGCAGTGAGAGTCTCACTGCTGCTCTCCTGCCTTATTCACATCCTACCTGGCCAGATTTTGGGGAGGGAGCAGGGAGGAAGCACCTCAAAGTGAGACAGTCAGACCTGTGAGCCTTGCCCTGAGAATCCCTGGTTTAGCAGGGCTGTGGAAAAGCAGGACCACGCTGCTGGGCTGTGGCTCAGCTCCTGTGCACAGGTCTCTGCAGGGCTGGTGCAGAAACCTGCGAGGGAAAAACACTGGGCAAAATATTTTTCTTCCAGGGGCACCCCTAATACTTCGAAAACTGAAGGACTGAACACCGAAACAGTTGATCTGAAAGAGCTTGTTGCTTTGTTTTCACGTGTTGGTTCTGGGTGGGGGAAGCAAGCAGAAAGCAAGCAGACAGTATGTCAGCTTGTTTCGGATTAAATCAAATGTTTTGCTCCTACACTAATTGCTAAGGGAGATTTCAAAATTTTCCAAGGGCAACAAAACGGCCTTAATCTTCTGAGACATTAATGCTACTTGCTTCTGAGCCTGCTTTTTTATTTTCCTCTCTGTGTGATCGTGGCATGGAATCATGTCTGAACAAAATACACTTTATAGTAGCCGAGAAACAGAAATAGAAGATGGTGTTTCAGAATCTCCAGCGTTGAAACGATGGCTTTGAAGGCAGTGAGATTCAGTGCAAAATCCCTGCTTTGCTAGAGTTCTGCAAAATAGGCAAATCCCCACAATTCCCAAGGTTGAATCCCCGTGCTCTGCTGCCTTGAGATGCCTTTAAAAACCCTGGGCTCTGTGTGCTGCAAAGAGCTTGTGAGTGGTCTGCAGCTTTTCCAGAGTGCACACAATTCCCCAGGCAGTGAGAGTGAGCAGTGAGATGACTTTCAGCCAGGACTCATTGCTTTTTAGATTGCATGTAGTTAGAAACATGAGTTCTGCCAGCTGCCCAGGGAATTCGATATTCAGTGCCAATTAATTTCTGTAATAGGAGCAGGGGGTTTATTCCCTTGGCTCCCTTAGGCACCTTTGAAAGGCCTAAGACTCAAAGGTTGGTTTGGATTCTTTGATTTCCTGGTGGCCTTTCCCGAAGAGCGGCGGTGCCACGACGAGGACGGGGACTGCTCTGGGAAGGGTGGCGGCTTCGGGGCCGGCGACTCCCAAAATTTCTGTTGCAGAGGTTTTCTAAACTCCTCAGATATGGGTAAATTCTGCTGGGCTGGATGAGACTCCAACCCCTGGCTGCTCTCTGGTCCTCCCGCTCCCTCCTCCCTCCCCTCAGCACCTCCTCATGTCACTGTGCCTTCGTTCGGTTTATGAAACGATGCCACGATTTCAGACTGGCACGTCGTCTTTCCTCTCACTTTGCATCTCATACGACAGGTTACGTGTGGAGGGGAGGGGGCAGCTTATTCTGTAGCTTTTTGTGTGGTGCCAAGGTGGGTTTCCCCTGAGGAGCGAGGGGGTGGGGGCGGTGGGAGCGGGCTGAGCCGCCTTGTGTTTGGTCATAGCAGTGCTTTAAGCGTGGTCAGAAACGTGGTCTTCCCCTACCTCTGAGCTCTCAATGCTGCTAAAATCTCTGCCATTCGTCCAATGTACTCCAGCCCCTCTCTCGGACTGACTCTGCCTCTGTTTGCAAGATATCCACATTGTTCTGAAGCATGCACCTCTTTCTGTATAGTTCCAATCTTCTGATTTTATGGAATACTTATGCCTGTTTGCATTACAGTCCAAATAAAAAAGTGAACTAAAACCTAACAGACCTCGTTCTTCTCTTATCTCTGGGTTTTTAGCACGGAAAGGCCTCTGCTGATCCCTTGGCCTTGCTCTGCTCTGCCACCTGTAATGCCAGAGCACTATAAATAGCT